TCTTCTCTTTCAGGTTATTTCCCTTTACCTCCCTGGTTTCTTTTCATGATCTGGACTCATGCTCACATATAAGTATTTGGTGCTAACATCCATATATGAGGGAGACTATATGTCATTTGTTCTACTGAGTCTGTGTTATTTCACTTAGTATAATAGTTTCTAGTTCCATCCATTTACCTGCAAATTTCATGATTTCATCTTTCTTTACTGCTGAGTAAAACTCCATCGTATAAATGAACCACATTTTCATTATCCACTCGTCAATTGAGGAACACTTAGGTTGCTTCCATCTGTTAGCTTTGTGAAAAGAGCAGCAACAAACATGGATGTACATGTGTCTCTGCAATACGATGACTTCTTTGGGTATACGCCAAGGAGTGGTATAACTGGGTCAAATGATAGGTTCGTTTGTAGTTTTTTAAGAGTTCTCCACACTGCTTTCCATAGGGGTTGAACAAATTTGCAGCCCCACCAGCAGTGGATGAGTATTCCCCTTTCCCCAAATCCTCTCCAACATTTGATATCATTTGTTTTCTTGATCTTAGCCAGTCTCACTGGGGTAAGGTGAAATCTTAAAGTGGTTTAATTTGCATTTCCCTAATAATTAGTGATGTTGAACATCTTTTAAGTTGCTTCATAGCCATCTTTACTTCTTTCGAGAACTCTGTTCACCTCCTTAGCGCATCTTTTAATTGGGTTACTTGTCTAGATTCTCTGTTTTTAGAGTTCGTTATATATTCTGGATATTAAACCTCTGTCAGATGTGTCACTAGTGAAGATTTTCTCCCATTCTGTGGGTTTTCTCTTCATTTCCCTGGTTGCCTCCTTTGATGTACAGAAGTTTTTTAGTTTAATGAGGTCCATTTGTTAATTCTTGCCCTTGCTTCCTGAGCAATTGATGTCCGATTTAGAAAATCCTTTCCTACACCTATATCTTGTAGGTTTTTCCCAATGTTTTCTTCTAACAAAAAAAAAGGGGTTTAGTTTCATTCTTCTACAGGTGGAGATCCAGTTTTGCCAGCACCATTTGCTGAACATGCTGTCTTTCCTCCAGTGAATATTCTTGACCCCTTTGTCAAATATCAGGTGGCTGAAATTCCATTTACTCATATTTGCTTCTTCAATGTTGTTCCGTTGATCTATGGGTCTATTATTGTGCCAGTACCATGTTGTTTTTATGACTATAGGTCGTAATACAGCTTGAAATCTGGTTTGGAATCCCCCCGGCATTGCTCTTAGTGCTCAGTGTTGGTTTGGCTATCCGAGGTATTTTGTGCTTCCATGTGAATCTTAGGATGTTTTTTTCCAATGGATTTGGATTGGCATTGCATTGAATCTATAAATTGCTTTTGGTAGGATGGTCATTTTCACAATATTAATTCTTCTAATCCATGAGCATGGGAGGTCCTTCCATCTTCTGATGTCTTCCTCAAACTCTTTCTTTAAAGATTTAAAATTTTCATTGTAGGGATCTTTAATGTCTTTGGTAGGTTTATTCTGAGATTTTTATTTTTTATTTTTTGCAGCTATTATGAAGGTATTTCCATGTGCTCTTTCTCTGATTGCTTGTGCTTGGCATATAGAAAGGCTACAGACTTTTGTAGGTTCATTTTGTAACCTGCCACTTTACTGAATGTGTTAATAATTTCTAGGAGTTTGTGCGTGGAATTTTTGGCATCCCTTAGATATAATATCATATCATCTGCAAAAAGGGATAATTTGAGCTCTTCTTTTCCAATTATTACTCCTTTAATTTCCTGCTCTTGTCTTACTGCTCTTGCAAGAGTTTCAAGCATGATGTTAAAGAGAAGTGAAGATAGTGGACAGCCTTGTCTGGTTTCTGATTTCAATGGGAATGCTTCCAGT